ATATATATATTTTTTAACACTTACAGTTCGAGATTGGATCGCAAATGCTTCTTCAAAACAAGTTTTCACCGCTTCTTCTAAATCATGGTTACGTACACCGAGGCAAATACGGGACATAATGTCCTGTTCATTTGTAACACCAAGCGCGAAAAAAAGAACTTTTACCGGAATTTCTTTCTTGACGAAAGGTATTCTCGCATGTATAAAATGACCTGTAATCTAAATAAAAAAATAAATATGAAATCAATCAATCTGCAGCAAGTCTTCAACTGATCAATTGTAAATTTGATAAATGATCTTGAAAGAATTTTTACCCCAATTTCACCGGACCTCTCCATCAATAGAAGTTGTACCGTTCTTACATCACCTTTTTCATTAGTACTTTTTATTTCAGCTGTATGTGTATGGGTTGAAGGTGCTGGAGTCTTGAAAACAAAAAGGCAATTGCTTGCTAATCTTTCTTGAGCAATCAATACTTTTTCCGAACCATTGATGATAAAATAACCACCCTGTAAAGTGCAAAATGATTTAATAATTGTGCTAAACAATTTATTATTATTTTTTGTTAATTACCTGATCATACGGGCATTCCTGCAAACTTGTTATTTCATAGTCTGTTTTTTCATATAAATTACAATGTTTGGATCGAATCATCACAGGAATCTAATATCAAATTCATTAACTTAAAATAATATCACTCATTGATTTCATTGCATCAGTGTCAAAATTTGCTAATATATACTTTTCCAATGAAAGCTGTCTGCGTGATAACAGTCTCGTTCGCATCACATAATTCATGGAATGTGCTGGATGTTGCTTCAGTACAAGGGACTACAGCTGTTCCACAAGTTACATCAACATAAACCGGACAAGAATAACTGGAAAATGTTTTAAATATTAGGTTTAAGTATAAAATAAAAAAAAGTTGAAATAGTCAAATTCGATATGCCTCACGTTAGATTTCTCAAACGTGCTTCATGTGGCCATATCCTGTTGACAGATCCATCAGCTTCAGTATGAGTTGCTACAGAGACAGCAGGATTTGAAAAGGTTATCCTGATTCGTCTCTATATGATGTAAGTAAAATAAAATTTCATAATTGTCATATAATTAATAATTTTCATAATTATGGATGAATCTTCTTTGATTGTGGATATAAAATTCCATATTTTGAGAAATGGAACCTTCTATATCTAAAAATTTATTATTTACAATTTGAGATTCCATATCATTTTGGTCTTCAACATGCTGCAAAATAACTTCTCGATTTGCCTCTACAACATCATGCACATCATAGTCTACAAAGTGATCATAGGAGGCTAATTGCTGCCTTACAATTCCACGATACTCAAAAAAGGCCGAAATTACTGCCCAACATTCTTCTTGAGAAAGATCAGGCTCATTTTCCTCATAATTTTCTTTATAAAACAAAAAAAAAAAAAAAAGCAAGCATCACACATGAGTTCTCACGTAAAATAATAATTCTTCAAATATTTTAATATAGCTTAGTCAGAACAAACTGTCAAGAACAATCACTACCCATAGCATTTTGATAAACATCGACACCATTTTCTTGTCCGACAATTCTGTTAGCGGTTTCACTCATGTTTTCTTGGAGGTACAAAGTAAATTGTGCAAAATAATGAAAAGAAGCAAAAAAAAAAAAAAAAAGTATGATCTAAAATATTGTCTCTAACTAGTTCTTAGTTTGATTTGTAAGAATTGGTCAGCAAGTTTGCTACGCATCGTCTTTATGTCACGTTGAATTCCTTTTTTTCATGCGCATGAAAAACATACGTCATAATTATGGACTCTCGTCATCCGATTTATCTAATAGAATTAGTTGTTCTTTGATTTATCTGTCTAGTTTAGCCATAGTCGAAATATATTTATCGTAAAAATGTTAAAGAAATATTTATGATTTCGTTAAATATCTAAGCCAGTTTTATGTTAATATGCTAATTTGTCTTTTACAATCATATTTACGACACATATTTGACTAATCCCATGTACAAATCGTGGGGGTACACTAACAAGAGATACTATTCGTCACAAATTATGGTAATATTGAATTATATAGTCCGAGAATGAAATAATTTATTTGACACCTGGGTGAGTTACTCACCCCCTTAAGTACAAAAGGGAACTCCGGTCATATTAATATGTTAGGGTTAGAATTAAGATTAGGGTTAGGGTTAGCCTAATGTAAAATTGCGAGAGGAACATTTTTGCTTATGTTACACAACAGGTTACCTTAGTAAAATTTTGAGATATTAGCTTTTTTCAAATTTTGTTATAGGGGGTGAAGGCTCACCCTGGGTGAGAAATAAATGTGTCCTATAATAAATTAATATAAAAAATCAAATTTTTTAAAAAGTTAATTTTTTTAAAACTCAAGAAGTTTTTATTAAAAATTTGTTGGAATTTTAAATTCTAATAGTGATTAAATTATTAAAATTGGTTTGGTAAATTTTAAAATATTTGTTATAAATAAATATTTATTTAATAGGTTAATATACTGTAAATTAATTGCTTGAGTAATTTGTTTATATATATATATTTTTGTATTTTAGATGATTATGCCAGTAATCTATATTTATTTTATATGCACCTGCAAATATAACTATAATAATATCTTAGGTTTTGACATTATGTGGTTGCTTCAACCTAACCAAAATTAACTGAGTACTTATATGTGATCAGCTGCATAGTTAGAACCAACTTTGATACAAAAAAGCTGACCCTACTAAAAAGCATATCTAATATTTGCTATACAATAGAATGTTGTTAATCTAATAATATCTTTTCATAAGGAAGTAAAAAAAAAAAAACTAAAAAGAAACACAGAGGTATAGGAAAAATGATAAAAAAAAGAGAAAATTACAAATAAGGGCTCAAATTTAAAAATAATTACAAATAAGGGCCCAAAATAAATTAATTACAGATAGAGGCCCGATATTTAAAAATTATTACAAATAAGAGCCCAAAATAATTGATGAATTGAATATAACATTAATATAGTCATTAATCATTAAGTGTATAAGAAATATAATAATAATAAACAATTGGTAATTTAAATATAAATTCAAATACATAATAAAAATGTACTTCTGGTTTGTTCGATTCGTTAATCCATTATCTACGCTATATTCTAAAATTGTTTTTTATCCTCAAAGTTCTTGACATATCTTTTAAAAATCTGCTTATAACATACATTATGCCAAATACATTTAATATCAGCATAACTTTTACTAATATAAAAAATGTTTGCTTGGCTCTAGACAGCTACTCTGTCAAATTTATTTTGCTATATAAGTTTAGAACTAACAAACCAAATAAGCTGCTTGTTGTTTGTCCCATGAATGAAAATAGTTTATGCTCATTTACTATTTTGGCTAATAAGCAAAAAGATAGTTATATTCATATATTTTTCACAAGTAATCTGGTTTTCCAGTTATAAATACATAAATGCATAGATAAATCAGTCTTTAATATCAACTTTGAATGCTGTAATATTTTCAGGGTTTTTTATAAGCAAATTGTGAAGTAATGACTTAATACGTTGATAGCTCATATTTATTTCCTTCACACCATGTTTTTTAGTAATAGCTTTACTTCTCCAAGTAGCCATATATGATGTCTTAGCTAACGAACATGATTAATAATATCACAGGTCAAAGAACTAGTATATCTTTGACCAATAGCACAGTAAACTTTACAAGGTATGATCTACATACTTTGAATGCTTCTACAGATATTAAACAAGTTAAATCGTGAAGAATTAGCCATACTATAATAAAAAAAGCTATAATTCACGTATATGTGTTCGAAGACACAGAAATATTAAATAAGAAAATTTGCGCAGAGTAGTTATGTAATTGGGTGTATGTAGTTATATTGTAATTAGGGTTTGCAATGGGCTGGGTTGGGCCAGGTTTGCCTAAACCTGTATCCGGTCTGTTAAATTATAAGCCCAACTCAGGCCCGGCCCAACTTATTACGGGTCTGAAAATCTGGACCCGGCCCAGCCCGTTAAATTATGAGCCCAACCCAGGCCTGGCCCAACTTATTATAGGCCTAAAAATTTAGGCCCGAGCCCAAGATCTATCCACCATGTATATCGGTTTTGGGAGGTTCGATAGTATTATGAAAGCTTATCTTATATTCGGAACCTTTTTTTTTGTGCTTTTTTGTTAAGATCTTTGCCATAAATTTTCGTATAGGCAAACCACCAAAATATACTGGACATAATGATAAATTTAAACAAAACTTAATTTGAATGTGTTGATATTGTAGTATGGGCATGGTCGATCAAATTCGTATAGACCATACCCATATCATTCAGAATACAATCGCAAATGCAGTATAGTTCAGAATGCAATCGTAAAAAAAATATATATCATTATCATTATATTACTAATTACGTTCAAATCAAAACTTTATCACTGCTGAAATCAAAAACTTATCGAATCTGCCAAACATTCATTCGGTCAATTTTTTGTCAGATGTCCCAAAAATAATGAAAACAGCTGTAATTTACAGCTATTTTAATAATTTCTGGAACACCTGATAAAATTTATTAAATGATTTTTCGGCCGATCCAATTAAGTTATCGGCATATAAATTATGTTACATACATAGCAATTATATATGTTTCCGCACAAACTAAGTACACTAAATATGTTGGGCAAGTGTTCAAATGAAAATTTAATAGTATTGAATGTGTCGGCATTTATAATATTAAAATTATCTGCAGAACAAGTATTATATCGTTTATATAAGAAGTAGAAACTTGCGTAATTTTACATGTACGTTCTGGAATGTAATTTTTGTACGTATGTATGTAAATAGCGTTGACCAAAAATTTCATAGAGTAAGCACATAAAGTTTAGTAGTGCTGGTAAAACCTTCCTTCATAATAATAATGTGACAATGCATTATTAGTTATTTAATGTAAAAGTTACGTGTAATTTTATTTATTACACCGAAATTACAAACTTAATCGAATTGGCTAGAATAATTTAGGCAGATGTTTCAGACATTATGAAAGCTTAATAGCCTCAGGCCTCTTTATAATATCCGGGCCCGGCCTATTATTTTACAAGCCCGGCTCGAACCCGGCCCAATTAATCACGGGCTTACAGCTATTATCATAATTCCTGGGACACCTGTGAAAATGGGCCGAATGATTTTTCGGCCGATTCGGTTAAGTATG